TCCAGAACCGTGTGGATGTGGCACTGAGGGATGCGGTCAGTGGGCATGGTGGGGGGGAGGGGTAGGCTAGATTAGATGATCTTAGTGATCTTTTCCAATCTTAACAATTCTATGATTCTGCACTACATGCACACAGCTATGCAAGTGCACAAGTGTTTGCAGGACCGGACCATCAAGAGAAAAAATGAAGGGATGAATTACACATAGTAATTACACAGGCATGTCCTGACACTGCCTGAGCTGCAGTGCGAAACCTGGAAACATCCAGCACCCTCGGGCTCTGCCACCACCTGAGACCAACGGAAGAAGTGAGAGCAGCAATGGAAAATTTTTTTGTACTTTCTCAATAGAAATCACTAGCATGGCTTTGGGTGCCACTTCGACTTTCTGTCACAGGTTCAAAGACATAATGTATTCTATCTTGAAAAATCCACCACAGATCGGAAATCTGTACTTTTAAATAAATAACAGTGGAATAGCACAACACAAAAGACTTAACATTGGATTATTCAAAGGAAAACATTTTTGTGCCACAGGAAAAAAAGTTGGAATCATGCACATAAATTTGGAGTACTTGGAGTTTTCTATTAATAAAACAGCATTTTTATAAATCATACAGGAAACATTAACAGCTCTCAAGTAGGACACTGCTCATACTCCCAAGGCAATTATGTAATTAGTCGTTTTTAGACAGAATGTTATGCCACACAATACTGGTATTGAACAGTCTCTAGAGCAAGTCAGTATTCAGATAATACATAATTTTATATTGGTCTGGATAGTCTAGTGAACCATTAGAATTTCTCAGTGTGAAAGCTTCCTATCAGATCTAGCAGTATTAATCTCGTGTTAAATTACTTAAATCCTGAAGCATTCAGTAGCAAACACTAGACTTACTTTAGCATTTGATCTCCATTGGCTTAAGCCAACAACAAAATAATAGGTTCAACTCATCACCTGCCTGTGCTCTCCTGCCTGCTCATTCCCAAGAGGAGCTTCTGCACTGTATCACTGTAAATGATATTTAGTTATCTGCTAAGTGGCTTTACATTTATTTTTATTCTTCCTTAAGAATATATATGTATCTATCTCCACAGAAGACTTGTAACACTTTGAAATTATAGGGCTAAGTCATGGAGACTGTTAAAAGACATCACAGCAATTAATCAATGTGTATAAAGAGATAAACTGGTACCTAGATTGCAGAAAACAAAGAATATTTGCAGTACTTCCACAGACAAAGCTGCTTTCACATGATAGGCAGAAAATCAAAATGTGAAATCAGTGTTCATTTATGATTGCAGTAATACGCAAATCCTACACAAGAAGGAAAGCAAACATATTGACTCATCACAGAGCTGTTGCTTAAGAAAGACAGAATTGCATCATCAATGTGCTCAGCCACTGAAGTCATTGATTTTACACATAATAATCACTGCATCCATCTGTTCTGTGGCTGTGTGTTTTAGCCAAGAAGTTTCTATGTCTCTTTCCTTTCTATTTCCTAATCTCGCTTCTAATCAGCATGTCTGAAATTATTTGAGCTTCCACACATATGAATTACGTTATAATGTATTTCTTAAAGGCTTTATGAGGCAGAGAAAGAGGTAGACACACTGAGGGAAAGGAAAAACAAGTTCTTCAGAAGCAAGTTCTCAAATAGAAGGAATAAATATTGACTACTATCATGGCTTTAGTGCTATTTATTATCTGATATCGTCATAAATCCTTCTTCCTTACCAAGGCAGGGCAAAAGACTAACTGATGAGTTACCTGTAGTGTCTCAAAGAACACACTCCGTCTGCAGACAGACCTGCCACAGTCATCCTTGGTCAAAGGAGAACAAAACAATGTCTTCCTCTATTAATTTGTTTGCCTTCTCACTACTGCTGTTCCATAAATTATGAAATTATTCAAGATTTAACAAACACACACACACACACACACACACACACACACACACACACA